AAACAACTTCACTTATTTTGATACAGTCCAAAAATCTTATGAATTCCATCATTGACTGTCCTAATGAGAAGGAAAATGTCATATTGATTCCAGCAGAAATAAAACTCAGAACAATAGTTCACTGAAACTGTTTTAATATTCCACAGACACTTTTATGACTTACTATATTGAACCAAACCCAATTTGTATATTGTGTTTTGAACGCTTTCGTCGTAAATTTATCTTTTGATTATCAATATCGCTGTTTTAATTTTCAAGTAAACATGAAATCTAAAATGGTTTTTCATTTTCAAAAAAAAAAATAACATGTAGTGTATAGGAAAACATTTAGAGTTCAGCGATAAGCTTAACACATATAACATATAGAAAAAAAACAAGAGAAATAACTGTCGAATTATTAGGTACAAATAAACAAAACATAATCCACGTTATAGATTTTAATTCAACATCGTTCAAAGATCCTCTAATTTTTTTATTACTGTTGTCTTTTTGGAATTTATCATAAGTTTTCAGGTAATCATTGATGATTTCGTCGTTTTTTTTTCATTATCAGCAGGCTTCTGTTTTTTCGATGGAGTAGTTGATGTTGTTGAACAGCTGTCTAGATCATTTTGTTTACGTTTAGATGTAATACCAGATAAATCTTGTTGCTTCTTTTTCGTTTTTGAACGTAGAAAAATTGATCTTCGTTTGCTATACCTATAGTTAAAAATCGGGCAGCGACAGTTTATTGTACTAAATGAATAGCATTAATATAAAAAAAGAATAATAAACTCACCTTTTCGATATTTTACGACTAGTAACAACGTTTTTATTCAAAACATTTTTATTTTTTGATTGTTTAACTGATGTCGTTTTGGGCGTACTGGTACTGAAATTTAAAGATGAATGTGAACTTGTAGGTGGACTTTGAACCGACGAAATTGGATCATTTAATGGTTCAATATTTGCATCATCTGTTGTACTGGAGCCAATTGTATGAGTATCTGGATAAGAAATTGGTGTATTCTAGAAGTATTCACATAAAAGTACGTATCTGGTTACCAGAAGCTTTTATCTTTGATTACAAAGCCGTATACTTACAACATTTGCATCGGAAACTTGTTCTTCTATTGTAACAGTATTAACATTGTTATAATCATTATAAATTAAATCATTATTGCTTTTTTTAGTTGATTTTGATTGAATAGGTAGTAATGATTCCTTCTCACCAACAATATTTTCTTTATCAAGTGAAGTAGATGTAATCAGACTTCGATTCTTTTTGTTACTATCAGCTTTACCTTGATCACCATGCTCCTACAAAATAAAAAGTTAAAATTTAAATCTAAGGATCTGGTCACTATTTTATAAAATATCAACAACATACCACTGAACTAATAAAACTTTGTTTTTCAACTTCTTCAATTTCATTTTTTTCATCATAGTTTGATTTTTCCTGTTTTAAGAAGAAGAGAACAGATAGTATTTAAAATAAATAGTTAAGAAAGAATATGTATACAATCAATATTGATGTTGGTAATTGCAACAATATTATGAATATTTTAACTCTAAATACTTGTCAATCATCTTTCTGGTCCTTTTCTCGCTAAATTTTTGTTCGGAATAAAGTCAATTCTGGTGACCAAAAGTCGAAAAAACAGCGTTGTACTAACCTTTTCATCTTGTTTTTTTGCATATTGTTTCGCTATTCCAGTTGGAATAGGTATATATCTTATGGGAGCAACTTCTTCTAATTCGTATCTTGCACCATAATATTGATACACACTATTATAAAAGAATAATATAAGCTAGAAGAACGTATTATTCTAAAGTTATCGCTTACGGTCGTTTTGATATTGGTGATATGAAATAAGGATTCGGAACGATTTCGATATTTTTAGATATGACTTCCAAAAGTGTGATAGCTCGATCTTTTGTTATTTCAACATTTTGAATGTCCAGTAATGTTTTTAATTGAACACCACTCATTAATGTTCCATGGTCACGAGCATAAGCCAATGCGGATTGGACACATTCTTTCACTTCTTGTTCTTTTGTAAGTAACAAAAAAGTACCACCTATTTAAAAAGAAAAACAACCGAGAGTGTTGAACTCTTTAGAGGTCATTACAATAATTATGAACTCACAGTTCTTCGCTCCTCCTCGCCAATGAATCAAGCGACGTTTTGTACCACCACTTGAAACTAGACAAAAAAGAAAAAAATCACTTTCTATTTCTGATCACCAGTTTTAAAACATTAAAGATTTAAATAGATGTTACGATAGATCATAAACTATACTATTTGCTAGTATTTATCTGCTTCAAAATTTAAAGACGATTGTTTTAATGACATACTGTTGATTTCGTTCTTTTCTTCTGGAAGTTCACTTTCACCTTCACTACTTGATAAATATACATCTTCATTTTCAGGTTCATTGTGTGTATCATTTGTTGAATTAACATGTGTATTCTTGGTATCTAGCAAAAGAGAGAAATATATTTTGATTATGACGACTAAAACTCTGAGACATAATGTGCTATATCTGACTTTATTATCTTTTTTAAACTTACCAACTTTTTTGTTCATATAATTTGATCTTCCATGTTGTTTATTTGGATTATTATTGATGGAATTTATTTCTGGAACTTTTGTATGACCATCATCACGAGTGCTTGTTGAATCTATATTTCAAATCAAAAGAAAAGCTATATTCAATAGTTTTCATTTTAAGCAATGCAGAAATATAACGAATTCTACAGACGAAGTCTACACTAGGAAAATATAACATTCACTTACCAACAAGAACTTTCTTTGTTTTTTTGTTCGACATTTTATCCTTTATCGCTCCATCAACATATAAAAATAATTTTTTGTTTTTCAATAGAATTTGTTGTGTAGGTGTTGTTCTAGTTTTATTAGCTTTGAATATGATGGTCGATTTAATTGATGTTTTACGGTGATTACGATAAAGTTCATTTATTTCTTTTTTCATTTCGTCATTACCTTTTATTCCAGGAAAATCACATATATTCTTGCTATACGACGATATATGTTCCATTATATATTGTTCTAAATCACCTAAAATTAGAATAGCAAAAGACAAATACAAAAGAAGAGCAAAATTCAATAT